TCCATTAACACATGAATCTCTGGTGAAGTTAAACAGTTTTAAATTCGCAAACCCCGAGCCCTGAGAACATGTTCATTAGGGTTCAAGATTTAGGACTTAAGGGCTTTGGGGCTTTAGTGTTCATGGCTTAGAGCTGAGGGCTCAACCACAAACACCGAACACCATTCAAACCCTAAACCCAGCGAAACCCGATATAACCCCTACGCAATTTAAATCTTATGTGCTGTTATTTCTCTTTGTTGCTTTTTGCTTGCGTCGTTGGCTGTATCCATGGTTTGTTCTGATGCTTCTGAGGCAGTGAACACATGGAGCTAAGATTTGAATCTTTGAGGGCTCTGACAGAAAATCTTCAATGAAGAGCGTATGTCAGATCTGATGTGCTGTGTGCTGTTGCACGCTTTAGAGGTCTTAAGTGCTTTGTCGTTAGTTTCCAGGGTCAGTTGAACCTAAACCCCAAGCCCTAAGGAATTCAGGGTCTGTGCTTCGGCGATTAGACTCTTTGGCGCAATAAACGAACCCAAAATCTTAGGGAGCAGGGCTTGCGATTTGACTTTTTGGAGCAAAACTTGAACTCAAAATCTTAGGGACCAGGCCTTGCGATTTGACTTTTTGGAGGAAAACTTGAACCCAAAATATTAGGGACCAACCAAGGCTTGCGATTTGACTCTTTGGAGCAAAAAGTTGAACCCAAAAAATGAGGGGTGCACGTATATTTAAATTTTTGAAATTATGAAATTCTCGGCCAGAAGGGGGCGGGCGGATCGCACCAAATTTTGACCAGGGCTTTGCGCCACAATTTGGTGCGATCCGACCGCTCCCTTAACTGTGCTAGCCTGGGTTGAAGAAGGGGGCGGTCGGATCGCATCAAATTTTGACCAAGGGGTCTTGCGTCAAAATTTGGTGGGATCCGACCGCTTCCTTGCCTTTGCTTGCTTGGGATTAGAGAGCGCAATCAATCGCCTCCTGCTGCCTCCTGGCTGCCCTGAAGCCTAAACCGAACTCTAAGCCCACAACTGAACCCCAAACCCCGGAACCTAAATCCTGAGACGTTAACTCTCAACCACTTGAGGAGGGGCCTACACTGGGGGTCAATGCAAGGAAGGATTCCTTCCTGAGCTCTACAAAGGGAGTTTCCTTAAGTTACACCTAGGGTTCCAACGAAGCTAGTGAACATTCTTGAAGGGGTGCTGGTGCCGCAGCCCTAAGCACACAGACCCTGAACCCTAAACCCCGGTACCTTCGCCCTGGAGTTTCATGACCTTCTGGGCTTTTGAGGGTTTTTAGCGGGCCCGGGCTCTTTCAAGCCAACGTCTCAACGCTAATTTTTTAATAATAAGGCTCATGTGCAATAAGGCTTTTTCTTGCTCAAGAGGATACCTCGCACACACAGTCAACACAAAAGACAAGCCATCACAAACAGCATTACCTCCATAAGGATATCTCCCAAAACAGCGGTATCCCAAATATAGCCCCAGCATACTCTTACTGTAAGTCCCAAAACCAGGGTCCTCTAATATGGTGCATATCGCCAACCTTGTTTGACGTCCTTCATAGCAGCCCCTACCCAAAAACTTGCCAGGTGTTCTGATCGTGTACTGAAGGTACTCTGTTGAGTGTTTGGGTAAACCCTAAACCCTAAAGCCTAAACCCTAAACCCTAAACCTAGTTGAGGGATTGTGGGGGTTCGGGGCATGTCAGAGTGGCCTTTTTCCCACATCAACGACATCGGCCTTCTCTCCCTGAAGCTCGGAGTGGATGGCGTAGTTAAGCTGAGAGAATCAAAGATCGCTTGAATTTGTTGAGTAATGTGCTCAAATTCGGAATGCAAACTTTCGAAGCTCGGAGCTGAGACCTCAGCAGGATTGCAGGTTCTGGTGGTGCTGTTCCACTGGCAGGCGCCGTGGCACTCGTCCAGGGGGCATGCTTCGCATGACTCCGCCACGAAATTTCCGCAGTTCACGGCGTCCAGCGCCCGCAGCGACTCTCCACACACATCGGTTCGATGTACGTGGTGCTGTCGAAACCGATGGATCAAGTACTGAACCGAGCTCTTCTGGGCATCGAAACGAAAGCCGGGCAGCAGCACCTCGCTGGCACACCCAAGAAGCCAGACATCGGCAAAGAAGGACCTTGCAGTTCTCAAGAGTCATGGGAAGAACAATCAGGCCAAGCTTTGTCGTTCCTCAACCTTCAAGCCCGAAGACCCTAAACCCTAAAACCCGGAACCCCCCTAAACCCTAAACCCAACACAGCCCAGAAGTTCAACGATTTGCAACTGCAGGGGACTCCAAGGAGTTAAAGCCGCAGCCGGAATCCTCTTGAAGCTTGTAGCCGAATCCCCGCAGCTGAGCAAGAGTTGCGTTGTCCCGCTCGTTGGTTGCCACCTCGGCCCCGCACCAAACCAAGCCCCAAGAAGCCCTCAAACTCCCCCCATCTCCGCCATAAGCAGCACAAGGAATCAGTGAATGAGCTCGTAAGTAAGTGGCGAGTATGATGCGGCTGCAGATGCCACATGGTGCTGTTGTTCAGGCGACTGTTCAGGAGCAGATGCTTGTACATATATCGCTGCACATGTGTGCCGGTGCAGACGCAGCAGTACAAGTTCCTTTTGTTCCTCTTGGGACAACTGATTTTCAGATTGCTTGTGATAGGCTGGACTAGTTCATTGCAGAGCACATGCTATTTAACAAACCAATCGCAATGAGGAAGGCTCATACATTTCATGTTAGGGCTAACTGCATGAACAACGAATTCATCGTGCGATCAAAACCACTACCTAAACATGAAAGACTGGCTCCTAATCATATTACACCTAAATCCTAAATCCTAAACCCTTAATATGTTACGTAATGAGAGAGAGGTCGCTCCTACTGTTTCGTTAGTTGAAATACATATTCTTGTGGCTCGTGCTTTTTCATTAAACTGTTTCATTGAGGAACTATAGCCAGCTGCTGAATTTTCTAGGTGAACTAACTTACCTTTCTCGCCGCTTGACAGCAGTTCATTCGATCACACAACAGTTCAGCTTGGCTCCGAATTTTGTGAGGATTTATACAAACAACAGAGAAAGTCCTCAACTTGGGTTTTGGTTGCACTTGACTCTGAGATACAACTCGGGCCACGCCTAAGTTGCAGAGACATGGCCTGGGGCGCCTGAGAAGATTTCAAGAATGCTTCGAGTGCTGTAGTTAAAGAGCCAGACAGACGTGGCCAGACAACGGATAGATGAATGTTAACTTCTCATGTCGATATTGCCTTTGTGCTGTGTCTGTCTCCTAAAGGGAAAATACAAAGCGTGAAGCCTTTGACCGGTATTGGAAATCGCCTGGACTCGCTTTTCCAACCATGCCAGCCGATGTTAATCAGAGCATGTGCGTGTCATGGGAACACAAACTAACTTCACAAAGTAACAAAATCTAGTTGAGAAGCTTAGGAGCCAGCTGCATGAACATTGCTTGGAAAGTTATCCCATCGAATCTTGCAGCTTTGAAACTTCCTAAACTTAAACAAACTAGAATGAGGACCATCGAAACGCGAGCACTCTCAAAATCACACGTGTCTGAAACGAGTGTCTTGGATCATGGGAGAGAAACACATGGATATGACACAGAAAAGAAACTACCGGCTAGATTTTGTACTGGAAGCGACGAAGTGCAAGCAAACCTTAGACTTTGAAACAACTCTGTGTGCGTGTCACAACAGCGCAAGCGCAGCTTAAGAATCGTTCAATCTGGGGGGGGGGGGTTGCGGCACATCCAGAGTTGGGAGTGCCGTAGACACCGTATCCGTCGTGTTGATACCCTTTATCATCGCGAACCGGAATCCGGTTCGCCAAGTCAGGCCGTTTCATACAATATGTCCGTGTGGCCATACAGACACGTAAAGTTTAAGAACGCTTCGAAAAACACGGGTATTCACGATGTTTTCTAGGGTTCTCATTTGCACTGGCAACAAGGAGACTTCAATCTGCAATCCGGGGTTCTCACATGAACGTATCTCTTTTGCTTCGGCTGTGTGCTTTGCATAGGGCTGCGCAAAACAAAAACGAGGCATCTATTTATTTGTTTCCTTCGAACCTCCACAGTAGAAAGTGGAAGGATAATGAATGAGGGATTGCTTTTTGGGGTTTAGGGCTGAACCAACCTAGGACCCCTAGGATAAACCCTAAACCCTAAACCCTAAACCCTAAACCCTAGACCCTAAACCGATCATTATTGAGGCCCCAAACAAGCCCTGGGACGCGAGCCTGGCATCGGCGGGAAAAAAGGCGGGGCACCATTCTCTTGGGAATGATTCTTCGGGCGGCGGGAATTTCAGGAATACAACAAACCCTTGAGCCCTCAACATCCTAAACCCCAGACCCAAATTACCCAATAGGAGTCCCAACGTTCCAGGCCCCTCACCCCCCCCCCCCCCCACCCCGCCACACCCGCAGAAGCTTTTCGCTGAGCTGTATTCTGTGGTCAAAGGTTTGGAGATTCGACCACCCCATCCCTGCTTACCTGCCCTAGGGCTTAGGGTGAGGGCACCTTGACCCCATAAACCCTAAACCCACAACCCTAAACCCTCAAGAAGCTGGCCAGTCCCAGTCACATATACTTGCCAAGACCTACCACCCAACTTCTTCTTGATGAGGCGATGCAAGTCAGCAGCTGAACCACAGTTGGCCGATGTGTCAACCTTCACCTGAGGGTTTAGGGTTTAGGCTTTAGGGTTTAGGGTTTAGGGTTTAGGGGGTTCCCCCTAGTAGCTAAGGGTACCTAAACCTGCTTTTTGTTTTCGGTTACAAACGTTTGTATACCCTTAAGCCCTTACAACAGGGGAAAGACCAAGAGTTTGGGGGTCCGAGTGACCCGGCATTTTGTTACGAGTTGGTCACCGCGACGCCAATGAACGGCCAAATACGGTGAACTGCCAAAGTAGCTCTGTCTCATCCGTTGAAACAGCTCCACGTATGCTGCTTTGATTTTTAGGCGCGAGGGCCAGAAGTCCCAACTCGTACTGCTCCAGGAGTGCGAAAAGATGCAATTGAACTTCGTTGATGAGCTTGTGAATGCAACCTTTGGCAGTTGCTGCCATGTCTCGATGTGGCGCAGGCGCCAGTATGTGTACTGACCACCTTGAGTTGTCTGCCCAAGCAATGCACCCGTCTCTCTTGAGTCAAAGCTGCAGTTCATGCTCTTCACGATTTCATCGCGGTCATCCTCGGGTGTACTCTTACTCGGACGAAGGCACACAGCGTTGTCGAGCTCAAGCACGTCGCTCAAACACTGCGGTGGGTCGATGCCCGGATATCCATGCTCAGTGCGCATGGGAGCCATGACCAGCATCCTGGGTTGAATGCTCCTATACCTCGGCAGCCCAGTAACCATCTTATGATGAGGGCACATTTTTTGGGATGGGTTTCTTTACTAAGGGAAACCCCAAAATCGGTAAAGGACACGACCAGCAAGATACACGTCCAACATTGACAGAATTTGATTGGTGTATCCTTCAGCGCCGCCAACCCAAACAACAGACTTTTCGTCTTGCTGGCCAGAAAGGGATCCAGTTGCCGACTCTGACGCCTGTGCCAAAAGCTCATTACATGCCTCTGGAAACGACGTAGGCATATCCTCTGGCATCATCTTCTCCTCAACTGGTACCGTCTGTCCCATCATCTCAGTCGGTACTATTTCTGCCGTCATCATCGCCCACTCCCAGCCAACGCGACCCATGAAAGCAGTGGAGCACAGCAGCAGGAACACGCAGCGGAAACGCTGCTTCAGGCCGCCGGATTCTCGTGCCCGACTGATCGCTCCGTCGAACTCCGGGTACATGCCCCATTCAGGCTTGAAGCCTGTCTTCTGGTGCTTGGATGCGAACTAACGTGTCAGCCCTAAACGTGAATATTCAACTGAAGGAGCCTCTCTTGCACCTCGAGGATCAAGATGTAGACTGGGCTGATGCCAGGGTTAAAGATTAGAGGTTTAGGGTCTAGGGGCTAAGGGGGCTCTATGTGCACAAGCTTGTGTAGTTGAAGGCCGGCTTTTCCTTTCTGCTTGCCGCAGACGTACCAAGCGTATGGCCCTAAATCCCAAAGCCTAAACCCTAATCCCCCTGAACCCCCAACTCCCCTAACAACCCTAAAACCCCCAGATCCCAAAGCCCTAAGCCCTAAAACAGGATTTGGGAGTCACGGGCCCCTTCGGTACAGATCAGAAGGCTCCCCCCCTCTTGTTGAATCTTGTTGAAGCTCCCCAAAAGGGACCCTGATTCAGGGAAGCTCGTGAATGGTTAAAGGTTCAGGCGCCGTTTCTCCCCCTCCTCCCCCACTTTTGCACTGATACGCCGTTATGCCGATTCGCCGCTCGGAGGCTCTCCTAAAGCCACAAACCTCGAAACCCGAAACTCCCAGAGTCCCTGAATCCTCAGCCCCAGCGCCCACAAACCCTAAACACTAAACCCTGGGCACAGCGCGGCGCTTCCCTTATCGACCCGAACCTTGGGACATAAAGGCGCCCCTAACAGGCTTAGAGTTTGATCTCAAGGGGAGGGAGACAGCTTTACATTCAAGGCCCCTTTTGGGGGTCCCTCTGTATGTTGGTTCTATCGTGAAAATTCCTTATCGACGAGCCCGAAACCTGCATCCTAAATCTTAACAGCACTCCTGGGTAGCCCAGGAAGCATCTTATCAGGGCCTCCCTTTTTGGGGAACCCAGAACCCAAAAGGGGGAACCCAGAACCCAAAAGAAGGAATGGTAAAGAGTACCACTGGGCTACCAAGGCTAGTGGGACTCTGCACCCCCGTAAACCCTAAACCCCAAACCCTAAGCCCTAAACCCTTAACGAGTCACCACAGGGTTTTGCTGCGGCTCCGGTTGTTCCCGGAGTCGCCACACAAACGTTTTGCAGCTCGGCCCGGCAGCGCAGGGACCAAAGCGACTGCACTTCAGTCAAACTCACCCATCCCAAGGCTCGGCAGCAGCTTGCAGGCTTTGTGTCAAAAAGCCGAGTCAGAGAAAAAAAGACTCAGGGGAGTTTCGCAAGACTTCAGGGCTTGCAGCGTACGAGGATTTCACTCTTTGGGTGGATGGTCTTCTTCGCTGAGCCTTGGTGTTCAGAAACTCCCAAACGAACCTCTACCGCTTCCGAACCAGCGAATTCCTAAGCACTGCCGCTTTGCCTTCCGGAGGGCCTTCACTTCGTGACAGTTCAGGGGTCAATCGCTGCTTTCCGTGGGGGCGCCTCAATCTCTGCGTCTGCGTCTCGGCCATCGTCTGCGCGCTTGCGTTGTCAAACAATTCCCGCGCCTGTCAGAAGTTTGGGAGCCCACAGCCTTTCCTAGTTCATTGTTGGGACAATACGAAAATTTAGATTTTTATTCCTTATTGGGTTTTAAGTACCCTGAAAAATGTAACATGTTACCCAACTATGACAAAGCTTCTAATGTTAAGCCAAAAACTCAGCGGTTCCGACTGACTTCGAACATTTCAAAACAACTCTCAGAATGGCTAAGAATGTCGGCACTTTTGACATGTTGATCCTCGACCTGCTGTGCCCTTGGCCCCCCTACCTTCAGAAAGCCGCGCGTGTGCCCTACACTTGAACTTGCCTGAACTTGACCATGCCTGGATGGAAGGGTTTCCGGTGGAAGCTCTTTCGACTCTTGTAGTTTCCATAAACCTTACTAACCCTACTTACTAAGTCAAAAGGGCTTCCAAGTAGGGTAAGGGGGTCCAACAACAGCGCGGGTTTCGGGTCTGTCCACAATCCCTTGACAGCCCTGACAAGGGGTCTCATTAACCGCCTGTATTCCAAGGACCTCCCAGAACGCCCTGGTTCTTAGTAGGGAATGGGGGAATGAGGTACCCTACATAATCCCTTAAAGGGCATACATAGGGCGATACAGGGTCATTCCCTCATTCCCTACCAAGAACCAGCCAGAGAATTGATTGCGGTGTTTTGGAGCTTTTCAGGGCTGTCTCCGGCATGGAGACCTTGCAGATTTTCGAGTAGAAGCTGGCTCGGATGTGTGATGCGCGAGGTGAGACCCACGCACAGAAGGCCACAAAAGTCTTCTCAGGAGCTTTGCCCGCAAGGCCTCTGCTACCATGTCCTCTTCGGCTTTCTGTGGGCGTGTCAGTGCTGCGTACAGCACCCGCTTTGATTGCCCTTTTTGGGGCCATCCTTGGCGAAGACAGTGTCGATGACATCCCACGCCGGGGGGGCACCCTTACCATCCTTGCCGCTTTTCGCGCCGCTGGCGGGTGCGGACGTTGACAGTGTAACGCCTTCCAGGAGCCCTAAAACCCAATAACCCTAAACCCTAAAACCTATAAAACCTAAAAACCCTAAACCCTAAACCCTAAACCCTAAACCCAGGCCTTCCAGAAGCCCGAGCTCGGCCATGGGCTTGTCATTGGGCTCCTTCTCCAGTAGGTGGCCCTTCACAATCCTTGGTAGGGTTTAGGGTTTAGGGTTTAGGGTTTAGGGTTTAGGGTTTAGGGTTTAGGGTTCAGGGTTTAGGGTTAAGGGTTTAGGGTCTTGGTAGCCCAGTAACCATATTGTCAGAAGGGCGCGCCCTTCTTTTTGGGTTGGCTACCTTCTCAAGGAATTCTTGAACCGAAAAAAGGGGAAAATTGTGCCACTAGGCTACCAAGAATCAGGCGGGCTTCTAGACCCAGCTCTTTTGTAAGCTGCCCCACACTGATGGAAGGCTCAGCCAGCAGCTTGGCTTTAGGCTCCCAGGAGTAACCGAGGAATAAAAAGGGTGCCCTTTTCTGGGCTTTAAGGGGATTAAGGTTTAGGGTTTAGGGTTTAGGGTTTAGGGATATTCCAAGGGAACCCCAATCCTAAAAAAGGGAAATAGGGGCCCACTCCCGGGGTCCTAGTGGCCTTCGGCTCCCCGGCCAGGCTAATGGCCTCCACCACGATCTTGCCGTCGTCTGCACCCCGGGCCTGCAGCTGGATCAGAGGCCTCTCCTTACTTCGCCAAGAACCAAAAGGGGGAAAAAGGGCCTTTAATACTCCTACTATGTAAGGAAGCCCTTTAAAAAGTGTAAAGTTCAACTGTTTGGCCAACGAAGTCTCCTTCGGAGGGGGGGGCTGGTGGGGGGTCGCTATCGACGCTGGCGCAAGATGTGTTGGTCCTGTGCATGATGGGGGCATAGAGGAAGCCAGGGATGGCGGGAGCATCCTTCTGATTGCCCAGGAGCTGTGGCGGCGTCTCGCTCGCCATGACCCCGGCTGTGAGCACACGCTTGAAGGGCACGTCGTCCCCTGAGCCTGCATAGACGCCATAATGGACTGCTTTGGGGTTGTGGGCAGGCCGCTTGCTGTCATCATAATTCTGGAACATCACGATCCGGCCACGCTTGGCCTGTATGACGGGCGTCGAGAGCTCCGCCTCAGGAAAGGCAATGCCACCAACATCGTTGAAGTAGACCACGAAGGACAACGTTGGGATGACTGTACTGAAGCCTTTGTGCTTCTGCACGCTGCACCGGGAGAGGTCCACACCATGCATTTGCTGCTTCGCCTGCGCTAGTTCCCAGCCATCGATGTGGGGCCCCTGGTCACGTCCGATCACATCCATCACCCAAATTCGCCCATACTCTGCCACATCTTGAATGTGGCAAACGGAACGCAGCTTTTGTGGCAGCTCTTCAAGCGCACCATCGACGGCCAATTCCGCCATGCGCACGCATCTTCCGTTCATGGAGTGCCAGGGCAAGACATCAAGCTCTGCATCCACCTGCTGCAGCAACTTCTCTGAGAGCAATCCATCAAAAATCCAAATTGGAGGATCTTTGCAGACTCGTCCGGACCCATCGTTCAGTGTGGCAGGGTCCTGAAGTGAAGGCATACATTGAGACGGCGCAGCAGGATCAGCGGGATCGGGCATCGTGTTGAACACGCTGGTTTGCAGCAGGTGCGTCGCATCGACCATGCTGCCAACTCAGCCTGATACAACTTGAGAAAAAGTAGGCTTGAGCCGGTCTCTGCACCATTGTTGGGGCACTATTTCAAAATGATCCTTTTTATTCCTTACTGGGTTTAAGTATTCAACAAAAATGTAAAATGATTTTCGACAATGACGGAGGTCTTTGTGCTGGCCAATGCAACCACTGGGCATGTGATCTATGCATGACCCTTGCCCACAAGGGCGGCACGAAAGTGGGCCGCAACACTTATGCTGATCACATGCCACATGCCCGCTGCACCATCTCTGATCTGCGCGAGAGAGAGAGAGAGAAAACAGATAAATATATGTATATGTATATATGTATAAATAGAAAACTATATATATATATATTTTTTTTTCTATCTATATATATATATATATGCAGTGTAGTGCAACAGAACATAGTGGTGCAAATGACAGTATCAAATATCGTAAGTCCACATATTCACTGGCGACTTTAGTTGGAACCAGCTAACGAAGTATCAAACGACACAGGACAGCCTTACAGATGTGGGGCTGTCGCTTTATTTTTTTTTTTGCCAGCCGCTCCACAGCAGACCTTGTAAATCTTACACCCTCAGCCCGAACAGTATACCCGAAGGCAGCAACTCCACAAACCGGACCCGCGGCGCCTTGGCGCCAGTGCCATACAGGGTGGCCGGCAAGGCTTTCTGGGATGGCCTGGCGAACGAACCACAAATCACGGTCTTTGCAGGGTTCGGACAGCATGTAGGGTTTGAGGCTGAGGGGCGCATGAAAGACCAGGAGCCTCAATTTCAGTGCCTCCATCCGCCATCCCACAATCGTTAATATACAACCCAAAAACGCCCCCCCCCCCCCCCCCCATAACATAGAACCCTCAACCCCTAAACCCTACATTGCTTTGGAGTGGCCAGGGGAGAGAGTTGGCAGTTGAGGGTCATGTTGGCTTCATGCTCGTGTCCCGTTTGCGGCGAGGCTATGGCAGGTCGATACCTATTTTTTAGACATTAAAGACCCATATAACCCCGCATGGACACCCGTAAGCCCAAAATTTTACGCTCCCCCACAACGCCCCTATAAGCCCGTAAACCCAAAACCCGAACCCCAACAAAGTCCCTACACGCTAAACCCGAACCCCGAACCCCGAAACATGCTAAACCCGAAATGAAGCCCAGGGTTGCGGGTTGAGGGGCCCTCAACCCTAAACGCGAAACCCCCTAAACCCCCTAAACCCCTAAACCCGAAACCCCCTGAACCCCAACCCCTAAACCCGAAACCCCCTGAACCCCAACCCCTAAACCCTAAACCCCTAAACCCCTAAACCCCTAAACCCCTAAACCCCTAAACCCCTAAACCCCTAAACCCCTAAACCCCTAAACCCCTAAACCCCTAAACCCCTAACCCCCTACCCCTAAACCCCTAAACCCCTAAACCCCTAAACCCCTAAACCCCTAAACCCCTAAACCCCTAAACCCCTAACCCCTAAACCCCAACAAAAACCCCGAAACAAAACCCCCTGGCAACCCGGAGAAGCCTGGGACCCCGAAGGCCGCTGAGCCGCCTCCGGGGCTTCGTTTGCTTCGGCCTTCTGGGCTTTACAGGGTTTAGGGTTTAGGGTTTAAGGTTTAGGGTTTAAGGTTTAGGGTTTAGGGTTTAAGGTTTAGGGTTTAGGGTTTAGGGTTTAAGGTTTAGGGTTAAGGGCCGGTGGCCTCTTTATCTGCTACCCTTATGCCTTAATATGGCCCCTAGATCCCCTAATAAGAACCCGGATATATGCCCTACAAGACAGAAACAAAAACCCTACTTCAAAGAGACCACCAACCCATAGAAGCTTGACATGTATATAGGTATGTATGTTCATATGTGTATACATATATGTATGAACATGTATATATGCCCATATGTATATGCTTCACGCTTGTTTTTAACGGTTTTTGTAGGTTTTGCTTTGGGGTTTTGAAGGTCTCTAGCTAGGGCCTTTAGGACTTTTAGGGTTTTTCAGGTACTTAGTCACTTTTATAAACGGCTTTTTGAGGCAACATTCCTTGCCTGAGGCAGGGATATTGCATCACATGCTTCCGACATGGCGCCCCATAATATCTCCCAAAGCCTTATACCCTAAACCCTAAACCCCAAATCCGAAGCCCCAACCCTAAACCCCAAATCCGAAACCCCAACCCTCCGAGCCCTCGCCACACCATCAAGCCCTGATGCCTACAAGGCTACAAGCTCCTGGATTGTGCGGAGCATGCGCTCGATTCAGGATTTGGGTTGTTCAGATTATGTTCTATCATACTTTGTGATGTTCTATGATACTCTCTGATATTCTGTCAAAAGAGTCTTTTTTTGGGTTCATTCCGGGTTTAGGCACTTAGTTAGGGCTGGTGGGGCTCCAGGTGTTCATCTAAACCGAAACCCCATATGCGCTTGACCCCGAAGCCCGACGCCCCAGTCTCGGCCTCATGAAGTGGGGGGTGCGTGGAGCGAACGATCATCTCCGGCAGCAGTTGCCGAAGCCCTGGGCGGGCTCTGTTGACAAGTCTTGTGTTGGCTCAGCAACACGATTCGATGAGTCGTTTTCAGGAGCATGGGGTCTTGCCCAAAACAAGGGACCTCCTCATCGACCACCCACCCAACGCAAGTCGGCGAGTCTATGCTTCGACTTGGCGAGTCGGCTTTGGAATAGCATGAGCTTGGCATATTCGACTCGACGAGGCTTACAACAAAATCAGCAAGGGATGTGTCCCATTTAGGAAATGTGACGACGTAGGAACTACCTCGAGCGAAGAAGTTCCAAGTGCTAGCGGCTTGCGCCGGGGGACCCTTGCTACAGGTTTAGGGTTTAGGGTTTAGCATTATGACTCCATCTTGTGCGGCTCTGGCGCCGGGCACCTGAACACTACCCATGGACTGCAATACCCCTTAGTTAAGGAATATTCCTGAAAATACAGTAAGGTTCCCTTTTTGGGTTTAAGGAATGTTCCTTAAGTAGGGATATTGGGTTCCCTTTTTTGGTTTCAGGGAATGATCCCTAATTTAGGAGTATTGGCATCTGGCCCCAGCATCCTCGATTGGGCTCCCCGGCTTGCGTCTGCGACTTGCTGTCGCCCCGGGCCCGGCCTCAGAGCCACGGCAGGAAGACGAGGGCTCAGGGTTCAGGGTCTAGGGGTTTTAGGGTTTTTAGGGTTTAGGGTTCAGGGTTTAGGGTTTAGTATTTAGGGTTCAGGGTTCAGGGTTTAGGGGTTTCAGGCTTGGGAGTGTAGGGTTCAAGGTTTAGGGGTAGGGTTGAGGGCTTCGGGTTTCGGGCTTCAGGCTGCTAGCTTCCCCAGTGACCAGACGACCCTTCTTGGCTTATGGGTTTTATTATGGGTTTTAGAAGAGTGTTTGGGCTCCCAAAAACCTGGACCTTTAACCTAAACACAAGAAAACAGCCTTAAACCCCAGAAGCACAAACGGGCCGGGCCCTACACCCTATTTAGTCAGGAGCAAGAGTAGTACTCGTGGAAGGGGTGGCCCTAGGATTTCTTCGGGTTATTGAGGGCTTCTTTCTCGGCTTTGATCTCAGGGTTGGGTGAACTCCTCTCCAACCGCCCTTCATTCTCCTTAGGGGGGCCATGCTTTGTTTTCTAATATGGGTCACTCCTTCTAAGCAGAAATCCTGGAGGCTAGAAAAGAGAAAGCCCCCACAAAGGCTGCCCGGGCGCCTTCCTTCTCCTTCATTCCGGTGCGTGAAGGCACAAGCTCAGGATGTCCTTGATAGTTCATGGTTGGGATAATATGAAACAATTTGAACTTTTTTCCTTATTGGGTACTTAAACATGCAAAATTGTACCCAACTATGACTAAGCTTGGAGCAAGAGCAGAGAGCCCAACATGCCTTTCATTAAGGAGTACACCTTCAATCATCATAGGAACTCCTCAAAGGAATTAAAGCACACTACTTATGATTGAGGTGTCCAGGGCTGTCTGGGAGCATGTTCGCGGCTCAGGAACCTATTTCATCAGGAAACTGCACTACTTCTCCCTTTCTCTATGTGATTGCAGCCTCATCTACATGCCTGAACGGCAACCCAGCATAGGGACATACTGCAAGGCAAACATTTGGAGATGCTTTTCTCTGCTTAGCAGGGCCTGCGGCCAAGGAGCCTTGTCGTATCTCAAAGAAGCGGAAGCAAATTGAAGTGCAGCCGGATTCTGCTTGACAGCTGCCAAGACGATGTCTTTATCATCTTGCCTGCAGGACACGTACCCTAAACCCTAAACCCTAAACCGTAAACCGTAAACCCTAAACCCTCAACCCTAAATCCTAAACCCTACACAGCCCCAAACCCTTCATTGAGAAGCCTCCCTTGGGGTCTAAGTCATGGAGAACAGTAGGCAGCCCACAATGACATGGGCGCTGACCTAAAGTTTGGGCCCTTTTCGTATTCAAACAATACCCAACAAAGTTGCAGAAAAGGGCCGATAACTTAGATGAACTTCCAACTGCCTTTGCGTGGGACTTGGAGGTGCCGCTGGTTCTAGCGCTGGGGGTTTTAGGGCTTAGGCCTCTAGGGTCCGAGGATCGCAGCTTAAACGAGAGCCTAGCGAACTACATCCATGAACCCTAAATTCCCATATGGGGGTTTACGATAATAAGTGGCCCCTAATACCCCCAAATAGTAGGACATTTTTTTAACAACGACCCCAATAAGGTACCCGTAGTATCGTAAACCCCCCGTATCCGACCAGCGACAAGGCGGGAGCTGCCGACAGCAACATGCCGTCTCGCGCCACTGCCAAGGCTGCGAGCTCACGTCGCGCCTGCGCGATTTCGCAAGATTTCTGAAAGCTAAGAGGCCCCTTTTTGGGCTGAGGGTTTTGGGTTTTTATATACAATAAGGGTCATCGTATTTGGGGTATATGTGTAAGGGACCGAAATTGCGGGAATTAAAGGCTTGTTGGAGGGTTTCGGGGTCGGCTTCAGAAACACGCCAGGTGAAACAGGAGCTACTCATGGTTGATGTGCGTGATGGTTCAACGCTTCGCCAGATCCCAACATTAATGTATGCCCTTAAACAGGGCGCAGGTCGCCAGCCAGTATGCGGAAAGGCTTGTGTATCGGATCGACACTCATCTCATTGTTGTGAATGCATGAATTGCCGAGCTAGCTTGCGTACCAACGTTCTTGAGATATGCTTTTGCCAAAACGTTGATGTCTGTTTGCGCAGTGTTTGCGTGCGGGTGTGTGCGTGCGTCCATGCGCGCAGGTGGGTGGGTGTGTGCACGTAAGGCTGAACGAGTGGAGACAGCGGTTCATGCAGAAAAAAGTGCCTGGGTCCCGTCTGAAAATGAGAAGAAGTACGCAGACTTTTGGCGGCTACATGCATCAACGCCGAGTCGGTGGCTCATGCTCCTCGAGGCACACCGCATGCACTAAGCAGAGCTCCTTGAGAAAGGAGGCGCCGTATGTCAGATCGAACAAGAAGCAGCCTTTCCTGCGCGCTTTTCAACTTGTGGTCCTCTTGCAGCAAGAGCAGCTGCGAGTCTAGCTCAGAGTGTTGTGATCCGGCCAACCGGCGAAGGCGGATAATCTCGCTTGCTCTTTCCAGTCCCGCGCTCGTCAAGCGCTGGTAGCGTGCTTGGTTCCCAACCATCTTTCGGAGGTCGTTTCGAACCTCGAAGAAGTTATTGGAACTTAACTGCAGCGCCAATCGTGCCGCTTCGCGCTTCACGCGCAAACCTGCAAATACCAGTTCTGCAAGCACGCCTTTGCAGACTTCAGTCCTCGAGATGGTCAGCACAGAACCACGGGGACTGACGCGAACGGAGCAGCCCACACCATGCTTTGCAAGGAATGCTTGGACAGCATGTAGGACAGGAGGAAACTTCTGGTACATGCTAAGTTGCAGATAAGCGGGTGGAGTCAATGTGATGGAACCCTCAGCATCAAAGAATCCAGCCAGGTAGCGCCAAGAAGGGCAAATTGCTGTGGGAGGTGCCTCTTGCTTGAGGTCTTTCAATGTGGCCGCTGCTTCAGCGCGCTCTTGCGGACGGGTCGGAAAGCAGCTGGCAATTTCCAGTTGTGGCTGTTTGCAAGAACAGGCGCTTCGTAGTAGAGCAGCGGCTTTCAAAGCATTCTCGGCACAGACTTCCCATCGCAAAACAGGGTTTCTTGCGCCGTTGGTACCACTACTTCTGCAAATTGACCCGCCAAGTACGTTTCTGAAGAGCAACAGAGATGCACTGCCGGATTCGGCCTGGCTGATCGCAAGCTTTATCCAAACATGTCTGCTCCCCAACTTTTGGCTTGCACTCACGCAGCCATCTCCGTCGAAGAAGCCACCCATATACTCAAGCGTGCTTCGTGGGACGTGTTTGCATGGCTTGGCTTGTGACGCTAGCATGGGCAAGCAATATCTCTTCCCAAAGCTCTCGAAGTGGTCCACAGGAGGCAGGTGCAGGCGATTCTGAAGTTGCCGAAGACGATGGAATCGCCGCTGCAGCTGCTGCAGGGTCAGCTGTCTTCCAAAATCTAATGACATTGTCGTCGGTAGTGTGGAGGAACAAAGCCTTATCTTCCACTACAGTGACACTGGTGGCTTCGTGTTGTCTGAACCTCACGGCTGGTAATTTGTGAGGTACCCTGAAGCAGAGAGACCCCAAGGGCATTCACAATGCCTGAGAGCTTGACATGCAAAAGTGCCCGAACCTTGAGATCCGCAGGCAAGAAGGGGAAGATGTCTGGGGTCCTTGGCATCTGGAGCTTGCCGGGTTTAGAGGGTTTCTGCTGTAGGGCTAGGGTTTCGGGTTTAGGGTGATGTGCATGGAGAGTGTAACGTGCAGACACACACACACACACACCCACACACCTACCTTCGCCTCAACCCAAAAAAGTACTCTGATCCGACGGTTGAGGTCTGGTCGTCTCTGGAGAGAAACACCTCGACTTGGGTGTGCGAACTGTGGGCTCTGAAAGAATTAATCCCGGCGAAGAAGCCCCAAAGCCCCAACTGCCGACGTGGCGTCGTCGCTACGGCCCGGCGGACCATCGCCAGCTCCCGGCGCCGAGCCGGGGCCGCGAAGCGGAGGGCCGCGCCGCTTTGCGTCAGGGCCGTGCGGACGACCTGCGAACCCCAAAAACCCGACTTAGAAGCTTTTTTTGGACTTAGTAAGTCTACTTAGTATCCCATAGAAAACCGATGAGAATTCCGACAACGCACTTGACTAACCCTACTTGCTAAGTCCGACGGCTTCCAAGTAAACAGACCAAAGCATGCAGACCCAAACGTGGCATGCATACTTGGGGCCCGGTGGCCTCTTGAAAACTCTGGGTTGCTGCTGAAGGAACCTGAAGTTCTAGTCATCCAAGAGAGAATAAACATGTAAGTAAGATCAGGGTTTCGGGTTTAGGGTTGGCTTCCCTGTCATGCTCGTGGTTGTTAGAGGAATCTTCGCAGCAAAAGCTTTCGAGGTTTTGAAGGTTGAGGCTTTCAAGGCCAATCCCAAAGAAACCGTGCCTCTCTGTCTGCCTGCAGTGAAGGGGAGGCATACCTCGGCTTAGGGTTTACGTTCTGGAGATAATGGACGCACATCTTGCTTGAAACATGCCGGAACGAGAGCAGCTGGTGCAAGGCAAGCCAGCCTTTGCTTTACAGACAGCACCCCATCATGACTTTGTTTCTACCTGGGCACTCCAGCAGGGCTCCCTTCTGCCGCACGGCCTGGGCGCAGAAGAAAGGCATGTATGTGCACCGCACAGGTGAAATTTGTGTCAGAGTGACACTTTATGGCTTAACTGTCTGCGGGCTTTTTTTTGCGTAGAAATCCCCTGCTTCGCAAGCTGTGGCTGGCTCAGCTTCCGTCTCCGCTGAAAGCCCCTGGAGGATCCTTGGAGGCCCCTGGACTCGAGATGGCCGGTTTGCTCGACAGCACCTCACTTGTCGACAGGTTGCATCTCACGAGACTTGCAAGCTCAGTGGTCTCCAGTACCAAGCGTTCGGAGGAAAGGACGCTTAGACATGGTCTTGATTATTTTCTGGTCACACCTACCTCTGCAGCTCCTGGCCCATGTGGCAAACTGAGCCGACTTGCACACTCCTCAAAGTGAAACCGTATGATTAGCATCAAGAGCCAAAACGCTGATTGTCGTCATGGTTTTCTCCGACCACTTGTGTGAGCTATTCGTAACTCTCACACTTGAACTTCACTCCGAATATAGTGTTGTCTACTTGCCGGATCCCCTAGAAACCCTTTCTGAAAAACGGGGTGCGACATCCTGGTTTGATGTGGAAGAGTTTCAAGTCTAAAAGCAATCTACATGTTTACATATATATATACACACACACACACACACACACACTTGCATAACGGATAAGAATGCTCAAAACCTTGAGAATTGTGCGTGGGCCGCGTAACCCTGGATCTACGACTCAAAGCCCTCAAAGAGGGCATGCTCCCAGAGACTCCAAAATCCCTTAATTAAGGAATATACCTTAAATTATAGTAGGATCCCTAATATGATTTAAGATATAATCCTTAATTTAGGGATATTGGAGTCTCTGGGCTTGGAGGGTCAGGGTACTTAAAACCACCTACAAGTGTAGTTAGACCCATTTATAAGCCCTTTCGTACCCTAATGGGGTTCTAACTGGGTAGTAAGTGCAGTTTATATTTGGGTCAGTATCTACCACGAACCTCCAAGCAGGTGTGTTCAGCCTCCAAGGTGATCTCCCGGTCATAGCGCATGGCTAAGGACAGCAGAGGGAAGACGTCACCTTGGCGCGTCAAAGCCAGGCCAGGGGACATCAACCAACTTCTGCAATGCCCTAAACAAACAGAATCTCAGGTAAGTCTGGGGGGTTGTTTCTACTCTAACAACATCTTGAACCCTAAGCCCTAAACTCTAAACCCCGAGCCCTTGCGGTTTTAGGGTTCAGGACTTAAGCGGCCTTAGCGTCGGTGGGTGCTTTGTTTCTTCCACTCCAAAAAGAGATGAATACACCAGCCCCCCAAACTAAACCCCTACCTAGCCTGTAATCATAGGACTCTACCCTAAACCCTAAACCCTAAACCCTAAACCCTAAACCTTGCACCCCTAAGGTTGCACCCTTAGGCGAAGCCATCCCAAGGGGCAGTTCTTCTGCACGGCTGCAAGCGCCAGCGCCTTGTCATCCTGAGAGCCCTAAACCCTAGCCCAAAACCCTAAACCCTAAACCCTTGTAGCCCTAAACCCTAGCCCTAAACGCAAAACCCTTCTAGCCCCAAACCCTAAACCCTAGCCGTAAACCCTAGACCCTAAACGTGGGCGTTGCTGTTCGAGAGTTGGTCCTCTTCACTTGGGGTGGATTTGGAGGGTCCGAGAGGAAAACCCAACACCCTAAATATCTCTGGGCCCAATAGGAGTTACATAAGGGTTTTAGGGTTTAGGGTTACATTAGGGGTTTTAGGGTTTAGGGCTTCAGGGGCTTCTCGGAAATTTCTAGCGGCCCTCCAAAGAGGGAACATATAGAAATACTTAGAACCCCGTGAGGCTCTCTCTCAGAGGTATGGCCCGGCTCAAGAAAGATTTCCATGCTAAAGCCGAAGCCCCCGTAATTCCCCTAAAGCCCCTAACCCCCCAAAGACCTTTGAAGGGGGCGTTGGTGTGACTTGTTGCCTCGGGTCGAAGGCCTTTCGGCATGCCGTTGGCGCTTCGGGCCAGGGCATTGGGAGTTTGCGGAGTTCGGGGTTCAAGGTGCATACACTGTAGGATTCGATGACAACATCCGAAACACGTGAACTCTCATCCTCACAATGGCAGGGTCTCGGGTGTTGCATTTAAGTGTTTAGGGCCAGAGAAGCCAATAGTGCCAGGGTGGACCATTCTTGATGAGCAGGGTTTTTTGAAGGAACCCAGTCCCTGAACAAACCCCAAACCCAATAGACATGGAACAAGGGCTCACTCTGGGATACAGGCTCGAATCAAAAAAAGTGATTATGTCAGGAGCTGCTCGTGGAAATTGACTGTGGGTTCTCCCCTGAAATATCACCCCACATCCCTTCACCCTCAATTTAGGGCTTGAGGGTTTAGGTCAACCCTAAACCCTAAACCCTAAACCCTAAACCCTAAACCCTAAACCCTAAACCCTAAACCCTAAACCCTAAACCCTAAACCCTAAACCCTAAACCCTAAACCCTAAACCCCATTCCAGCCTTCAAACCTCTAATGCCCCCACGGGAATCCCAACTCCAACGCTCAGGGATTGGACGCGAGCCGGGCTCGCAGGGTGAGGGTTAGGGCTTCAGAGGGTTTAGGGTTTAGGGTTCAGAGGGTTTAGGGTTTAGAGGGGTTTAGGGTCCAAACAAAAGTCCCAGGGTTGAGTGCTCGCCTCTGCGTCTGGTGGACACGGCAGGGCTGCGTCCAGGCTGTCCTGGAGCGATGGTGGGCATGGACTTAGGATGCGCGGGGCAGCAAGGCAACTTTCATGCTTTCTGATGTTCGAAGAATTGGAGGCTTGCAATCTGAAACATGTCTGCTTTGTCTTCAAGAAGGATGAAAGGCAACATCTACTCCTTCGTCTGCAAACTTCTCTCATCTGCTCTTGTTCTCCCAGCTGCCGTGACTGTTTGAGGTTGTGGCTGTGGCTCTGCTACTATTTGCTTCAGAACCCACCAAAAAATAGAACCAGCAATCCCTACATTACCCTTATAAGGAAGAACATATATATAATGATAATGATAATAATAGTTATTATTTAGATATCCCAAGGTACCTAGTAATCCTAAACTCTAAACCCTAAACCCTAAACAATGTCTATGTCTGTCCTCCGCCATGTCATCCGGCGTCTCTGCAACCTTTGCAGTTGGGTTGCTGCCCGAAAGGGCTGAGCATGGCTTAGAGTTTCAGTTTGGGGTCAAGCGGTGGGATGATGGCAAGCCTGCATTATGAAAAAACTCTTGGAGTCTGTACCTACTTGGGGGTTCATGGTACTTATTCACCAAATAGAGCTGTACTTATAATTGTACTTACAACCATATTAGGGCACTTAAGGGGCTTATGAGTGGGTTGTACGTACAGTAATAATTGGCGAAGAACCATGAACCAAGTAGTTCAGCAAGGGGGAGGAGATGGTATGCCAGATGACCTGCTCTCGGGATGGGCCTATGGCTAAATCTCTAAGTCTGCTTCCATATGCGTAAACTGCTAGAAGCCCAGAGCCCGCAACAGCAACACCTGAAACCGAAGACCGCAATACCACCCGCGAACACTCTCAGACGCCAAGCCCTGCCAAAATCTCTGATGCCATGCAGCAGACACAAGAAACAGTGTATAAACACTAGCATTGGGGAGGGAGCTGAGGAGGAGGAGGGGCAAGGCCCTCCCAAATGATGTGCATGGTGGGATCGTATGCCAGTTGTATGGTATTGCTCGTTCAGCCGACAAGCTTCCTTTAGGCACTCATCGAACGGTCGTCAAAAGAAGGCGAATTTGGTACTTCTACGGAGAGAGGCAGTCTTGACCCTACCTAAGGATGACATGTCGTGCGTGCTTCGCAGAAATATGCTGCCGGCTGATTGTCTTTGATGCCTTCTCCCAAAACCCTCACTGTCAAATCCTCCCCCACGCCCTTCGAGACTAGGCGCCTGCGACGCTTCGGGCACTTGACTTCGGGCGCGGAGGCCTCCGACATGCCAGGTTTGGATATTTGTGTCTTGCGAAAAGTTTGCTAGCAGCAGTTTGCAAGGTAGAGCTATGGTCTACGCGTTGTTGATTCAGTTCTGCTGGCGGGCACTCTCGTGGTGCTGTGGCTGGATGGATGGCAAGACAGAACCTTGAACCCTAAACCCTCAACACACAGAACCCAATGTCAGAGTTCGTCGCTGTGCGGCTCAGCGCAAAACACCAACCTTTTTGTCTTCAAATAATGTGGCCGGGGAACTTGAACTTCATCTCCAGCTCTGAGGGTTTATTTAGGGTTTGGGGTTTAGGGTTTAGGGTTCAGGGTTCAGCATCTCAAGTCCGAGCATTTACTAGTCAAGCAGCTTGTCAAGCGTTGGAATAAAACCCCACCCACCCAAGAAACCCATAACATTGAGAAAATACAAAGTTCACTCAACACATTCCCAGTAGGCTTAAAGCTCAAGGTCCAGTTAACCCAAAACCCGAAATCTAACTTTCAAACCTCCTCACTTGATGGATGGCAATAGGTTGGCGGGTGGGAGGTGGGGGGTGGTGGGGGGGGGGGGGATTGGGGGGGTGGGGGGGCGGGGGGTGGGGGGGGTGGGGGTGGGGGTGGGGCCACCAGGAGGAAAAAAACAATATGGCGACGAAGGAAGGGCGTCAGGGGGGCGTCAGGGTTTAGGGCCCACCAAGGGGACAAAAAACAATATGCCGACGAAGGGCGCCAGGGCCCAGGGCCCACCAGGGGGAAAAAAAAAACAATATGCCGACGAAGGGCGTCAGGGTTTAGGGCCCACCAGGGGGAAAAAACAATTTGCCGACGAAGGGCGTCAGGGTTTAGGGCCCACCACGGGGAAAAAAAACAATATGCCGACGAAGGGCGTCAGGGTTTAGGGCCCACCAGGGGGAAGAAAAAAAACAATATGCCGAGGAAGGGCGTCAGGGTTTAGGGCCCACCAGGGGGAAAGAAAAAAACAATATGCCGACGAAGGGCATTAGGGCTTAAATATGCATAGTAAGAGAGGGTTTAGGGTCGAGTGTTTCGGGTTTAGGGGGATGAAGGCACTGATCAGCATGCGTGGCAGCCATTTTACAAGGGGAGCCTACGTGAAGTTGCATCGGGGTTTGGGCCAAGCAACGTCTGCAACTTCGGGATTTCAAAGTTGAGGGTGTAGGGCTTCGGAGGCTGCGCCGTTAGGGAGTGTCGCGGGTGGGGGGGGGGCTCGTTCTCTTGGGCTTCGAGAGCACGTGGGAAAACTGGAGTGTCGAGCGCGTGCATTTCCCACAAACAGTGTTCATCAGAAAGTACATGACATGAAATGGGATGGTGCCTACTTTCGTGCCGTACGTCCACTCGAAACAGCCCAGGAACCGGCACACTGTCTTATCAACCTTGCGTGTGCTTGAGGCTTCAGCTTACAAATAGACCTTAGAGTTTTGCTTCGGGCCCAACCGTTTCTACTCGGCAGACAACCAGTTGCGCGCGGAAACACATAATATACCAGATGCAATTCTAAACCTAAACCACCCCCCCCCCCTCCTTCACAAGCTGGAGACTTGGTGAAGTTGGCAGATGGGTAGTTTCCAACATGATGGTCCCTTTTTTGGTACCTATAGTTTAAGCAGCACCCTGTCCAAAGGCCAAAAAGGCACGTCAATTTTGCAAAAAAAAACTGGCCAGATTTGGGCTCCCGTCATGCAAGGGCAACAGAGCCATCGCTCCCGGCCAATCGAGCGAAAGAGTTGTCGGCTGAAACTTGCCTTGGATCCGAAGGCCCTCAACGACATGGAGGGTATCTGACTTCTCCAATCACCAGGTGGGGGAAAAAAGGAACTGCCCCTAAGCCCTAAACCCGGAACAAAGCCTTGAACCCTACGAAATAAAGGAACCGAAAATGCGCAACAGTGGGCTTGAGCATTCTGGGAACTAAGGTCCCCTTTTCTAACCGCAAGTATTGCAGAATCCCCTGGGAAGAAGGCCCTAGAAACCCTAAATCCCTTAAAAAAACCCTAAGCCCCAAAGCCAAAGCGCTTCGAATCGACAGGCTCTCGGAATGGATGGGCAGCTTAAGAAGGAATCCCTTTGGGCAGCCTCCTGTGTTTGGGTTCAGGGTTTAGGGATTGGGGCTTGGGGTTTTGAGATTGAGGTCTGGCATTTAGGGTTTCGGGATTGGGGTTTAGGGTTTAGGGTTTAGGGTTTAGGGCTTGGGCCCCCACCCCCCTGTTAGGGGTTTTAGGGGCCCCTCAGAGGTTGATGGGGCTGACCCCAAGCCCAAAGCCCGAAATCCTAAACTGTAAATCCTACATCCGAAACGCCAAAACCCGAACTTGTAGTTATTCGACCCTTCTATGGGGGGTTTACGAGCATCGGGGACTCCTAATATCGACCCAAATAGTATCATTCCCTCATAATAAGGACGCCAATCAGGTACCCCCCCCCCCGCATACTTGGAGGTTCATGGTACTTATTAACCATTTATAACTGTACTTATAGCTGTACTTATAACCCTATTGGGGCTCTTAAGGGGCTTATAAGTGGGCCATAAGTACAGTTATAATTGGCAATTAAGTACCAAGAAACCCTAAACCCTAAACCCTAAACCAAGTAGTACGTCCGGCCTGAGAGCGACCCAGCGATGTCCTCCACAAGGCCTCCCTGCCCGAAGCCTAGCAGTTTAGGGTTTAGGGTTTTGGGGTGCCTGGGGCCTTTAGTATGGTCGCTTCTGGAGTAGGGGAATATGGGACCATGCCACGACCCTAAGAGGGTTCCAGGGGGTTTGGGTGTCAGGTTGGGAGGCGGGGGATGAAGGCTTGAAGGGCTTCGGCTCAACGTGCTTTGTCCGCGGACGTAAGCCTAAGACTCTCTAAGAAATGCCGGTTTAAGGTGGAAGAAGAAAGAGATTGGGCGCCACGGCGCCCTCAGCAGTGTAGTGTTCCGAAACCCTGACCCCCAAACCCCTAACCCTAAACCCCAAACCCTACACCGAACCCTCAGTCCTAAGCTTGCTTCGGAACCCAAGCGCCCGAGCTGCAGTTTAGGGTTTTGGGTTAAGGGTTAGGGTTGAGGGTTTACGGGTCCGCCCTAAAGCCGACCCCCTAAAACATGGGTCCACGGCTGAGGCGATGAAACTAGACTCTAAACCCTCAAACTCTTGCTACTACTCTAAACCCCTACCTAAACCTGAAACCTCAAGCCCTAGATGGCCCTAAACCCTCAAACCTCAAACTCTTGTTATTCCAAACCCTTCTTAGTAGCCCAGTAACCATATTCTAATGAGGGTACCCTTTTTTTGGGTTGGCTACTTTAGCAGGGAACCTTGACCCAACAAAAATGGGAAAAGGGAGCCCTGAACCCGCTGAGCACGGAAGTCTTCCGCCTCTGGCAAAGGTGAGCTCAAGTGGGCGGTGCCGCTCCAGTGCTTTCTGCAGCAAGGCGTTTGGCCTCTGCGGGCTTAAGGTCGAAAATTTCCACGGTAGGACTGAAGGTAGTTTCGGCCCTTGTGCTTCAAACACTAAACCCTAAACCCTAAACCCTAAACCCAAATTTAAGTGTGTGTGTGTGTACCCTGATTCTAAGCTAAGGGACTTGGATACGCCAATAAGGTTGGACCGAGATCCAGCATCTCGCTCAATTTTCCCGCAGGGGGCTCTCGGAGCCTAACTGGGACAAGAGCCAACGAAGACGCCCAGTTAGAGCTTGTGAAGCAAGGATGGACGCATCCTTGTGTACCTGCGCAATGTTCACAGTGCTGTTGTTTCCTTTTGGTCACTCAGTGATCTGAAGTTTCAGTACCTCCTGGATGAGATCTGGCAACAGTGTACCATTGTACAACAATCTCTGGTTGACCTCCCTCTCTCCGTGTGTGGGCTTCATCGCCCAAGGGCAATTCACCCGTTTGGGCATTGCCTGATTCCTGGATGGGGATCACCCAAGTAAACAGAGAGGCTTCAGTGCCAGATGAGCCTTTGTAGGCACCCAGTGCTATGAGCGGATTCTCTCTCGCTCTCTCTCTCTCTCTCTCTCTCTCTCTCTCTCTCTCTCTCTCTCTCTCTCTCTCTCTCTCTCTCTCTCTCTCGGTACCAGCCACGCCGGCTGAAGCTCAGTGTCGCCAATAAGGGCGGAACCGGAAATTGTTGAAGGGTGTCTTAAACCCAGTCGTGAGACATAGACGAGGTGGTCTAACTCTCTATTCGTGGGTCTCGACCCGAGTCGTATTTGCAAATACTTAGACCGTTTTCTTTCTTGCTGGACATTTCGCCGCTCGGCTTCTGTCTTAGTAGAGGTGCTCTGGGTCGCTGTTGACAGCGGGGGCCTCCTGGGATGCTCCTGGGCCCTTTGTGGCAGCTGGGGGTCCTCCACGACGACGACGATGATGGGAGGTGCCTTGGGTCACGGCGCTGGCAGCTGGGATCTCCCGGACGCTCCTGGGCCTTTCATGGCAGCTGGAGGTCTCTGACGACGATGACGACGACACTAAGGATTTCTAAGGTCGGTGCTGGAGGAGGAGGGCCTATGGCGGTGACGGGGCTATGGCGGAGGATTGGGCCTTGGAATGCATTGTGTCTCCCCTCGTAGGAGGGGTGTGTGTGTGTGTGTGTGAACCCTGGTTCTAAGCTAAGGGACTTGGATACGCCAATAAGGTTGGACCGAGATCCAGCATCTCGCTCAATTTTCCCGCAGGGGGCTCTCGGAGCCTAACTGGGACGAGAGCCAACGAAGACGCCCAGTTAGAGCTTGTGAAGCAAGGATGGACGCATCCTTGTGTACCTGCGCAATGTTCACAGTGCTGTTGTTTCCTTTTGGTCACTCAGTGATCTGAAGTTTCAGTACCTCCTGGATGAGATCTGGCAACAGTGTACCATTGTACAACAATCTCTGGTTGACCTCCCTCTCTCCGTGTGTGTGTGTGGGTTTCGGGTTTAGAGTCTAGAGTTCCGCGGCTCCAGTCCGGGACGTCTGTAGTCGAGCTGTTGGTGTCGACAAAGATAAACTCCACCCGCCCAAAGAATCTCACAACAGTAAGAAAATTCAAGGCTCGTGTATTCACTGCATTTCACCCAAGCACATGAAGCTTCTGGGGCCAGCTAGGGTTTATAATCAGCTGTATGAAAGAGCGGTCCAGGGTAAACGTTGTTAAGCTAATCTTCCAGCGGAGAAGGTGCTCAAGTGGCTTGAGGCCATGAACACTAACAATAAACCCGAAACCTTTGAAAGGGTTTAGGGCTTAGGGCTTTAGGGGCACCCTTCTTGAGAGCCGCAGAGTGACCAGTGACTGTAAGAGATGTGAGGCCCAGGAACTGTGCAGTTTCGGTGGAGCACTGGACATGCAAGTTTTCCGACAGAAAGCAAAGGCCCAAAGCCTAAACCTAAACCCTAAACCCTATAAACTCAACCCTTCAACCCTTCCACTCGTGAAACGCTAAAACCCACAAACCCTTAAAAACCTAAACCCCTGAAACCCCTTAAAACCGCTCAAGCCCTTAAAGCCCTAACTCTCCCCACCCCCCCAAACCCCGTAAGCCCCTTGACCCGTTAATGCCCTTGAAAGCTTGTCTTGATGGTTTGGGGGCTTAGGGTTTGCCTACTACCAAGGCTTGTTCTCGTGCACCACCCTCTCTTTGTAGATGTCCATGGGGAAACATCGGACTATGTAACACTCATCATCACATAGGACATGGGGGGTTGAAGGCCATCAGAAGATGCATAAACCCGAAACCCTTGAACCCTACAAACCCTGAACCGTAAACCGCCTAAACCCGCAACCCCAACCCCCCTCTGAACTGCCGAAGCGGCAGGAGGCCAACGTCCACTCCCTGCAGCTGCACCAACTGATCTCCTGGCTGAGGAGGGCACTTGGTCGCTGAATACCCCTGCCAAGCCCTCAGACCTCAACGCCAAAGCCGTAAACTACACCCTAAATCCCAATCCCTAATCGTTCATTAGGCTCTAAGCCCAAACGCCCATTTACCCCAAACCGTAAGCCTTTTCTCAAGAAGGCCAGGAGGTGGAGGAGGGCGCTGTCACCCGGTTTCAGAGACCTGCGCCTTTAGGGCACTTCCTTGCGGCAAGCTAAAAAAACCTAAATCCGAAATCCGAAGCCCGGAATCCCAATATCTCACGGAAAGGCTTCAGGGTTTCAGAGTTTCGGGCCCTAAGCCCTAAACCCTAAACCTAAGCCCTGAACCCTGACGACACTTTAACTACAGTATTTGCTCAGTGAGCCCTGAACCCTGAACCCCAGACCCCCTTACCCTAAACCCCAAGCCCCGCCATCTTCGGCCGTGCCCTTTACTGAACTTGGAGGAATTATAGGCCCCCTCAAAAAAAATAAAGAAAAAACAGAAAACACAACAAGACCCCAAGTATCCCGCAGTGCCTTGCTGCAGGCCCACGTGCTCGGCCCAAGACCCCTCCTCGCAGCGGTAGACGAAACGGCCTGGCACTCTCTCAATTCCCTCGAGTTCGGGTTTAGGGTTGCGGGTTTCGGGTTGAAGGTTTAGTTGTCGTTAGGGCTTTGTTTCCTCCCGGGCTTAGGCCTTCGGGGCTTTGTAAGGTTCAGGGCTTTAGGGTCTCACAGGTTTTCGGACTTTAGGGTCTTAGCGGTCATGGGTTTAAGGTTTAGGGACCCTTTATCAAGTCAGTGACCCGCATGAACCCGGCCCTTCTTGACAATGAGTTGCGTATAGGACAGCGCAGAGCCGCGAAATGTACACAAGCCATACAAAACAAAAGAGTTTAGGGTTTGGGGTTATCAGAGACAAAAAAGCACCTTAGACCTCGAAAATGACAACAACAAGAAGCCAAAGTAGGCATGCACATGGATTTTTGATCAAACACACCTGGGAGCTCTCAAAAACGCGCCCGGACCGCGAGAAAGCCCGCATGCCGTGCCTGGTACATCCGTCAAAGCAAAAAACCCACGCTCAGGGTCTGCTTGCCGGTTCATGGGATGTTTCTTCAGGAGGGATTTAGGGTACCCTGCTGAAGGTGACGGCATCTTAGACATGCAGTTCTCGGACTTACCATTAAGAAGCGACACTTCCCCAAACCCTAAGCCCTAAACCCCTAAGCACGAAGCTCTACACTTTCAGCCTACAACGGAAATCCTACGCCCTAAGCCCGAAGCCGTACGCCCTAAACCGAAGCCCAAAACCCAAAGCCCTAAAACCCATCATCCTACTTACAAGCTTAGCTGCTGACGTCAGAAGCCCCAAAAAACCGTACACTTTGAGTTCTATAGGGGATTATGGTATCCCAAAAGTGTAAAGTGTACACGCTCAGCTACTAAGCAACCCGTCTTCGCGGGGCCTGGTGGTGCAGTGAGTCGAAACCCGAGATGCCCGTGTACCGCCTCGGCCGTGAGGAAGAGGACGCCTCAGATTAGAAGGGGTTTTGGGTTTAGGGTTTAGGGTTTGGGGTTTGGGGCTTAGGGTTTTGGGGTTTGGGGGGACCATGCTTCAGGCCGGAATATAGCCAAAGACCACACTCTAGAAGGTCTTTTTGTTGAGATGGTCCGGAAAACTTGCCATGAGTATGGCATTAGGTACCGAAATACTAAGGCCGGCGAAACCCCAGACCATAGAAATTGAGTGCTGACGCTTCAGATCTTCTACACGTCGCGGACCATCGCAAAAGGGCAAAGGGTGTTACAGGGGTTGTGGTTTGGAGGCCCCGTAGCTCAGAGCCCCAGCACATAGTTCCCCCCTAAACCCTAAACCCCAAAACCCTAAACCCTGAACCCTAAACCCTAAACCCTGAACCACCCAACTCAGCTGCTCGCAGAGCCCACTCAGCAAAAAGGAATTTGACGCTCAGTACTTGTCGTCCCCCCGCCTCCCCAAGCAAATGCGACTGTCAAGAAGAAAAGTTTAGGGTTTAGGGTTTAGGGTTTAGGTCTCGTCATAGTATTTGTTTGGGAACGTCGTAACAAGCGTGGGACACGCCGCCCAGTTCGAAGCGCGGTGCATCCTACTCCTGCATAGGTTGAATTGGGCCAGCATTTCGTCCCAAGAACCCAAAGGTTTAGGGTTTAGGGTTTTTAGGGTTTGGGGGTTTAGGGTTTTCGGGTTTAGGGTTTAGGGTCCCGGACCAGCCCAACCCCCGCCACTCCCCCAACAAAGAATGCCTTCTCACATCACAACTTTCGGTCGTCAAAGCGCTTCGGTCAAAAACTTTCTGGCACCAAAACCCTTTATAATTTATGACACTATAAGCTGAACCCTGAACCCTGAACCCTGAACCCTAAACCCTAAACCTTGAACCCTAAACCCCACTTGTGCCAATCTGTAGGAAGTTGAAGCTTCAAGGGGCGGCTGCCTTCTTCGCAGGAACTCGCTGCCTCTTGCTTTTCTGAGGGATTTTAGGTGTTTCTTTTTGTTGAGGGTTTTCATGGTTTTTAGGTGATTCTTAGGGTTTGCAGGGGTTTCAGGTTTGTGGGTTTAGTTCGGATTTAGGGCTTTATGCTGTTTTTGGGTCCTTAGAGTTTTTAGGGTCTCTGGAGGTTTAGGGCTTAGGGATTAGGAGGTTTAGGGTTTTGGGCTTAGGACTGAGGAGGTTCAGGGTTGAGGTTTTAGGGCTTGGGGGGTTGTTGGTAGATTGGGGGTTTCGGAGCTAATGTGGGTTTTTGGATTTAGTTAGTGTTTAAGGGTCCCAGTGATGATGGCTCGAGGGCAGATGGGGTGATGGGGGTCTAGGAGGGTAGGGGTTTAGGGTTGCAGGGTCAGGGTATCATTGCCTCTCCCCCAAAGGCCAAAACCAAAACACGTTTTAGTTTAGGGGCTTCGGAGCTTGGGCAACCCTACTTGGAGTATCAAGGACATCAAGTAAGTGACAAGTACTCCGCAGATGGAGCCCAGCTACTTGGAGGTTCATGCTACTTAGTAACCCAATTACATCTGTACCTATAACCCAATGATACCCCACATTAGGCTACTTAAGGGGCTTATGAGTGGTTTAAACAACAGTTAGAAGTGATACCCACATCAGGCTACTTAAGGGGCTTCTGAATGGTTTTAAAACAACAGTTCTAAGTGATACCCACATTATACAAGAAACGACAAACGCCAAAGGTGTCATGCCGCAGCCTCGCTGGTGCACTCCTCGCGCATGGATGCCATGGTCCCCGCGACGGCCTCCGGAAACTCCACACTGCTGCAGAGACAGTAGGGTTTAGGGTTTAGGGTTTAGGGTTTAGGGGTACTTAATTTAGGGTTTAGGGTTAGGAGCTGTAGGGGTCTAGGGGCTAAAAGGCTACAAGGGTGCGTAGGGCGTAGGAGTTTAGGCATGCATATGTTGCGAACTCTTGTCTGGGACTCTGAATTCGGGTGCTTCGAAGATTTGCTCTGTTACTGGTTCAGGATGTAGGATTGAAAGGCGAGGGGAAGAAGTGGGAAAGAAACCACGGAAGAGAGAGACTTCTCAATCCAGCCCTCCAAACAAAGCGCTTGAGCCCCCTAAACCCTAAACCCTAAACCCTAAACCCTAAACCCTGAAGGTTTGTACTCCAGCCAAATTCACCAAGGCTCCCGGAGCCACTCTTGTAGACGCCCATCGGACACCTCAGGTTCTTGCTGGGATGCGGTTGCGTACCAGGTACCTAGGAGTTGGGGCTTCGGATTGAGGATCTTCTTGGGAAGTCCAAGCAGCAGTCCTTTTCTGGGGGGTCTCTTTAAGGGGGCTCTATTCTATGTGGGGTATAAAAGCGGTACCTCCCCCCCCCCCCCCGCCTTTTTGGGAAATACCCAGAGAACCCTGCTGCATACAACTGACATATACTCGGAACCCGCACCCCTCAGCCCTAAACTCGGAACCCTCAGCCCCAAAGCTTCAACCCCCAAAGGCGCCAGCAAAAGCCGCGGACATTTTTTCTTATAAAGGCAATATGGGGTTTAGGGGCTTAGGGTTTAGGGATTGTCTATGACCCTATATTGCCCATGTAAGGACGCCTAAACCCTAAACCCCAAACCCCAACCCTGAACCTCCTCTACCATTTTTGCCGGGGTTTCTTCGGCAAATTCGCCCCCAGACTACTACTATTTGCTTAAGAACCCTAAAAGAATTTAAAAAAACAAAAATCTCTATATTACCCTTGATAAGGAAAAACCACTTTGTGTTTTTTAGGGGGTTCTTCAGCAGATAGGAGACTACAGGGCCCATGGTTCCAAGCAAAGAGTAGTAAAACCCTAAACCCTAAACCCAAAACCCCAAAACCCCAAAACCCCAAAACCCTACACCCTAAACCCTAAACCCCTAAACCCTAAACCCTAGTGTTCGGCTCGGGCACGTCGAGCTCGGCATCCGCGGACGAAGCCCAGGCCGAAGCGTCGCCAAGAGAGCCCTCCGAGCTGGTGGTTTTAGGGTTTATGAGAGTTCCCTAAACCCTAAACCCTAAACCCCAAACCCTAAAAAGTTCGGGGTTTATCCCGAACTTCCCAACATGCATGCCGGACCCCTCTCACGGCGAGAGTGGTGAGCATGGCTGATTAGGGTTCGGCGTTTAGGGTTTAGGGTTTTGGGGTTGGGGTAAGGCGGGAGGTTTTGGGTTGGCCTCTTTTTGAGTAAGATGCTGGGTGTTGGTGCTTTTTTTGGCTTTTGGAATTTGTGAAGCTGTGCGAGGTGCAGGTTTGGAGTTAAGGGTTCAGTGGTTCAGGGTTTTCGAACTTGGGTGTCGAGAGTTGTCGTTCAAGGGCCGTTTTCATTTGAAAGCTCTGAACTTATGCACTGGCTTTCCTGCTCTTGCTCTAGAAGCGGGGTTGTCCGGTGGAGGTGTCAGATGGGTGGGGCACCGCCACGAGCCCTAAACCCCCAAAACACCGAAACCTTTGACTCCGAGCACGCTTCCGTGACCTCCACTGTTTGCCCTGTAGATCCAACCCTCTATGGGCCCTTGACCGTCTGAGCCCTAAGCCCAAAATGTCCTGTACTCTAGCCTTAAACTTTAGGCCCTAGTGAACCCTAAACCCTAAACCCTAAACCTTAAACCCTAAACCCTAATCCTTTCCCCACCTCCTCCTGTGGAACCCCCTCATCGCCGCTGGCCGGGAGAGATGGTCGGCGAAGTGAGACGCCGCTGTCCTGTGCGATTTGATGGACCTGAAACTCTGCGACTTATAATCTACAAATGTAGTCATAAGTAAGACATATAAACAATTATTGTAGTCATAAGTAAGACATAAAAACTATACTTGTAGTCACAAATATAGTTGCAGCTACGGCAAGCCATGGGCGAAAGTGACTTCGTGACTAGCCGACCACTGCGAGCATCCAAGCGTCAATGAATCGGGTAGCATCTTCTTGAAGCAAAACTGCCTCCTCTCTGATAATGAAGAACCCCTCATGTTGTCCAGAGAACAGCAGCAAAACAACACCTGCCGCCATGCGTCCAAAACAGAGAAACAAAACAGCCCCAACTTCTAAACAAGAAGTAAGCTACCACTGGTTTCTCCGAAGAAATCTTCAATTTCCAAAGAAAGAAACATGAGAAAGTCAGACCCGCTAGCATGCCTACCTGGTCGTAGGTTCCTCCAGCAAGCAAGGGAAGCTACTTTATTGGGATTTTCGATGGGGACGTAACCTGGAAACAAAGGAGAAAATGTCAATCCCTAAGCCCTAAGCCCTAAGCCCTAAGCGCTAAGCCCTAAGCCCTAAGCCCTAAACCCTAAACCCTAAACCCACGAAAGCCCTAAACAGGCTCCTGGGGAAGCTGGGCCCGGGTCTCCCCCTCTTTCCAGTCTTCGGCCGGGAGATTCTCCCACGCCATCTTCCCCTGGCCGATGGTAAGTGGGTTTAGGGTTCTAGGGTTTAAGGGTTGAAGGGTTTACGGGTTTAAGGGTTTAAGGGTTGAAGGGTTGAAGGTTTAAGGGTTTAAGTGTTTAAGGGTTTAGGGTTTAGAGTCTGTGATAAAAACAAAATTGCTTTTGGCTTTATAAGGATTATATAGGGAACTGAGAGTACTACAAAAATGAAAAATATGTTCGAACCTACCCCTGTGGCTGTTTTGGTAACGATCGGTTGTGCTTCTCAGAAAGTCAAGCAGCAAAGATCGCTCGAAAATCCTAGACCCTGAGCCCTAAACCCTCAACCCGAAACAGCCTAAACCCGTACCCCATGGAAGTTCCATCAGGCCGGGTGGAAATCTTGATTGAAAACCGTCAGGCCTGATGGAATTTCCAGCAGGGGTGATGGAAATTCATCAGGCCTGATGCAATTTCCAGCAGGCCTGACGGGAATCTTGATTGAAAGCCATCAGGCCTGATGGAGTGTCAATCGGGTCTGATGGTTTTCAATGAAGATGAGCATCAGGCCTGATGGAAACTGCATCAGGTCAAGATTTCCATCAGGCCTGATGTAAATTTCATCAGGCCTGATGCTTTTCAATCAAGATTTCCATCAGTCTGATGGAAATTCCCTCAGGCCTGGTTGTTGTCAATCAAGATTCCCATAAGGCCTGCTGCAAATTCCATCAGGCCTGATGGTTTTCAATCAGGGTTTCCATCAGGCCTGATGGTTTCCCATCAAGATTCCCACCAGGCCTGCTGGAAACCCCATTCAGGCCTGATGGTTTTCAATCAAGATTTCCATCAGGCCTGATGGTTTTCAATCAAGATTCCCACCAGGTCTGCTGGAAATTCCATCAGGCCTGATGGAAACTCAATCCGGCTGGATGGTTGAAGATCTCCATCAGGCCTGATGGAAATTCCTTCAGGCCTGATTGTTTTCAATCAATATTTGCATCAGGCCTGATGGAAATTCCATCAGGCCTGAGGCAAACTCCATCAGGCCTGATGGTTTTCAATCAAGATTTCCGTTAGGCCTGATGTTGTTTCCATCAGGCCTGATGCAAATTCCCTCAGGCCTGATGATTTCCAATCAAGATTTCCATCAGGCCTGATGGAAATTTCATCAGGCCTGATGGTTTTCAATCAAGATTTCCATCAGGCCTGATGGAAATTCCATCAGGCCTGGTGGAAATTCCGTCAGACCTGATGGTTTTGAATCAAGATTTCCATCAGGCCGGATGGTTTCCAATTAACATTTCCATCAGGCCTGATGTAAATTTGAAAACTTTTCTGAGCACAAAACGCCTTGCTCGAAGCTCGCAGTTTGAACTGCAAAACAGAGTACTGTACACTACAGGTTTCTAGAGTTGGTGCTTAGGGTAACCGTTTGTCACCCCGCCTCGAGGACCCAAAGCGAACAAAGTTCAAAAGGTTTGGATCCTCGGCACAAACATGTTCACTGCCGAGCGAACTCAGCTAAGTAGAAGCCGGCCCGAAAACTCTACAGTGGTACTGAACGAGCTTTCCATTCTCACAGCCCTTGCGCACTATGTGACATGGCCAAAAGTGAGATACATGTTCAGGGTTTCGCGGTGACACTTTAAATGCTTTCCAACATGTTCAAATGCAAAGCACTGTCAGCTGCATCAGCCCATTCGTGGAGGTCGGCACACCTTGCACTGCTTCAGCTGCAAGCTCCGACGCAGCTCCAAGGTGTACGTCCCAACTCTACTGTTGCGATATTTCCGCAACTTCTTCGGTGGTAGCATCTTCCAGCTGCCATGCAAAACACCGCGCCCGGAACAACGGGCGCAGGCGCTGCTGCCTCTGTTCCGGGCATCAGGTTCTCCACAACTCTCTGGGTTGGCTGCAGCTCTGGAATGTTCTCACGAAACCAAGCAAACCGCCTTTCGCGTACTGCGTCCTCGCTGTCATCTCTTTGCACAGGCTGTGCATGCTGAGGTTCCACTGCTGGCGCGTCCTGCTCGTGTTAGATCCTGTTCTCGAGCTCCACCATCGCTTGTACTCGCTGGCTTATACATGTGTTTACAATCTACCTGTACTAGATGGACCCTGCACCTTGACAACGCGGCAAAACACACACAAGGCTCGTTACATTTCCGTTTCAAGGGTTTCGTGGCTACTCCAGGATCTCTGGGGAAAGGACAACAAATGTTGGAATCTGAGCGCCCGGGCTCTTGTTGCGGCTGGGGAGGCTCCCGAACAGCCCGCCTGCATTCTAAGTAGCTCTAGCAGGTACCACAGGGTGTACTTGGGGGCACCAGTAAGCCGAGGTACTTGGGAACTTAAGTACCTTCAGAGCACTTCTCTATGCATGCCCGAGGTGAGAAGAAACCTTTAACCTGCCATCAGGGTTAGGGTTTCAAAGCGCATGATCCCTGATCTCTTTGCATCAACTTATAATGCTTTGTGTGCAGCACCGGGCCTGTTGCCCCTCTCCTGACCTCAGCAACGCGGCCTCCACTGAAGTCACCGCCGCTCGATGTCGTTGGGGCAGCGCCTCCTCAATTTCCCGCCCTACACGCGGCCCTAAACCCCTACAACCCTACAACCCTAAATCGCCTGAACCTGACGTGGCCTACATGGGCTGGGATGGGTCCCGGTTTGGATTGTGGGTTTACGACTCTCAGCCCTTCAATCTAGGGTTATAGGTTCAGGGTTAGGGCTTCGAGGAAAACGGCTGAGGTTTGGTGTTTGGGTTAGGGTTTAGGGGGTCAATGGTAGTTTGCCAGTCCGCGGCTCTCAGCCCTTGGTCTCCAGCCGAACTCTTCCCAACGTGCGGCAATAGCCTGATGTGTCTTGGGATGTGTTTGTCCGAAATCTGGATCTGGGTCCTTAAACTTCTCTGTCGCTGCGGCGTCACCATCCTTGGACGTGTATAGCTAGGGTTATAGGGTTTAGGGTTTAGGGTGTCTGGTTTAGGATCCTGTTCTTGAGGGCCGTAGCTTCGGTTCTTGCAAAGGCTTTCGGGTCTTAGGGTTTGGAGTTCTGGGGTATCAGGTAACTCAGGGCTCAGGTGCTGCGCCCCAAGAAGCAGACCGTTTTCTATTCTACTCTTCGAAACTCGCATGCAAGCGTAAGAAACATCGTGCTTGCCAGCGTGGTCAGCGTAGTCTCATTCTTGTTCGGATGCCACTTCAGCGCCAGCTTCTTGTATGCCTGCATCGTGGTCATTACACCCTAAACCCTTCTCAAACCCTAAACCCTAAACCACCCTAAGTCGAAAAGCATTCCCAGATGACTCTCAGTTGTCATTAGGATTGAGGGTCATTACGGTTTCGAGCAGGAGCCTGTTTCTTAGGTAGGCAGAGGTTAGGGTTGTCTTGGGGGAACGCCCTACAGCCGCAGCTCCAAACCCTACGTCTGCGGAAGCCCCAAACTACTTACTTCAACAACTTCCCCAAACCCTAAGCCCTTAAACTCTTAAATCCTAAACACCAAACCCTAAACCCTAAACCTTCAACCCTACATCCCGAACCCTGCGCCCGTAAACCCCCAAACCCTGAACCCCTGAACTTGAACCTCAAACTCAGGGTTTAGGGTTTGGACATTAAGCTCTGAAAGCTTCAAAAACTTAAGCTGGCCTTGCGAATGGCCTCCGGATTGGCATCTCGGGGTACTCCGAGCACCTGGGCTGTTTCTGCGGGGGCTTTTGGGCTGGGCGGGCATGACCCTTAAACCTTAAACCCTCGTAGTCTAAGGCATTGGTAGGGTCATAACTCAAAGCCCTAAAGCCGAAACCTTCCAGGTTTACAGGGTTGTAGAGTTTGCGGGCAGGGTGGAGGAGGTTAGGTTTTCGGGATGTGGGAGGCTGGTTTAGGGTTTAGAGTTTGGGTCTACGGCCTTGCGAACCCGTGAAACCCTAAACCCCTGAGCCCCAACCCCAAACCTCTGCATCCCCGAAACAGGCTGCGGCCGCGGCTCTGACATGCTGCGTGTTGCCCAACATATCACGCATGCATTTGTCTGATACCGGGGCGGCGAGCTGCGGGAACTTGTGCAAACGCAGGCCCTCCTGCCTGTCCATGATTCTGGCTTCGCTGACAGCCTTGCCTTCGGGCAAAGCCATGGCCGAGCTTCTGGCCCAACATGGACAGACTCCATCGCCCCGTCGGGCAAAACCTGACTCACAGGGCGTGGTCCCGATATGATGTTAAACAGTGACAGTAGCGACAGCCGGCCTGCTGACTGCAACACGTCCACGACGACAAACTTGCGCTTGCGCGACCCGAGCTTGCGCTCTTCTGCTGTCTGTCGAAAGACTTCACGCTGTGGGTCACTGAGAATCCCCGATCCTTGGCTTCAGATTTACGTTGGTCTCATTCTCTACAATTTAATACAAGTGTCCCTGAATGTCCACCAAGACACGCGCCGTTAGCCTGGGGACAGGCCCCGGGTGTTTGCTTCCGATCTTCAGCAGATTGGACCAAACGTGCTGAAGAACTGCCCACACCAAAAACTGTCGACACCGTCCTTGGACTCTTGAGGCAGCAATCACGCCGCACCAGGATAAACCACACCCTGGGCCGTCGGACAGAAGCCCCAGGCTGGCATGGAGGCGTCATCACGTGCAAAATAACGCAGATAGTGGTGCGGCGGGGGTTTGGGCACGCGCTGGAGCTCTTGAAAACACTTCATTTGAGGCTAAAGAGTACAGCACAAGTGGGAGAGGCGGTCAGTACAAGGGTAAGTAGGTAGGAGGTTTGGGCATGCGCTGGAGCCCTCAACACTTGAGGGGGGTGAGGGGTTGGAGTCGTTGGAGAAGCACTTGCTGTAGATGCCAAGCTTTCCGTGTGCCCCTGCATCGCCTGCAACTCTTCTGCAGTGGCCTCAAAGACCCTTTGTGAACGTTGCTGTTGCTACATACTGCCCTTGTTGTTGCTGCTGCGCAGTCATTGCTTGTCGGAGGCCTGTTGCATAGCTTCATGCTAACGTTGCGTTGCCTCGCCAGCAGCTGAAGCATTCTGGGCTGCTTGCAATGCAGCCGACGCCATCTGTGCAAGCTGTTGTGCTGGATCCATGACTGAAAAGAAAAGCACTCAACCAAGTCAAGCTCGGAAATTCTTCTCCCCAATGCACCAGGCTCACCAAGCGTCGTTGTTCAAAACAAACCTCAGGAACTGCTTCCTGAACTAGAGCTCGAAATGGAACGTTCAGAGTTCCCTCTCGCCCGAAGAACTTGCCGCCAACGCGGGACGAAGACTTGGCTATCCTCGCTCTCCAATGACGGACTCGGTGGATCCGCCGAAGCACGGGCCGCCGTGGCCCCAGCTGCACGCTGGCCGCCCGGCAGCCGACGAGGATGAAGTGCCGATGGCCGCCCAGCAGCCGAAGATGTAGGAGGGCTCTGCGGGAGGCAAGCAGCACACGGGCGCAGAAGAAGTCTGCTGCACACAGCAGGCAAGGGTTTTAGGCACACAAGGGGCTCTACACTAGGATTTCAAGAGAGTTTTCGGTTTCTGCCCTCTCAAAGGCACACGGCAGCACTTTCGTCCAAAATGGATCGGTAGTGCTCCACTACCATGAAAACTTTTTCGAGCGCAAAACGCCTTGTTCGAAGCTCGCAGTTTGAATCCAAAACAGAGTGCTGTACACTGCAGGTTTCTCGGGTTGGTACTTAGGGTAACTGTTTGTCAAAACTCCATCAGGCCTGATGGAAATTGCATCAGGCCTGTTGGTTTTCAATCAAGATTTCCATCAGGCCTGATGGAAATTGCATCAGGCCTGGTGGAGATTCCATCAGGCCTGATGGTTTTCAAGCAAGATTCCCATCAGGCCTGATGGTTGTTAATGAAGATGTCCATCAGGCCTGATGGTTTTCAATCAAGATTCCCAGCAGGCCTGCTGGAAATTCCATCAGGCCTGATGGAAATTCCACCCGGCTTGATGGTTTTCAATCAAATGTCCATCAGGCCTGATGTAAATTCCATGAGGCCTGATGGTTTTCAATCAAGATTCCCATCAGGCCTGCTGGAAATTCTGTCAGGCCTAATGCAAATTCCATCCGGCTTTGATGGCTTTCAATCAAGATGTCCATCAGGCCTGATGGATATTGCGTCAGGCCTGATGGTTTTCAAGCACGGTTTCCATGAGGCCTGATGGAAACTCCATCAGGCCTGATGGAACTTCCATCAGGCCTGATGGAATTCCCAGTGTCAAGCCGAGTTGACACCAAGATTCTTGCGGTGACGGAGGTGTGAGCTGACATCTTGCAACAAGGCATTCGCAAGCTCTCTAAAGAAGCTCGTAAATGTCATTCTTTGTTTGCAACAAGTCTGATGCAACTTCCCGAACTGCTGAGCCCGAAGCCCGGAACCCTAAACCCTAGTCCCTCAAAAACCCTCAAGTGGCTCTAGGTGCTCTGCTGAGGAGGAAGGCAGGGTTGCAAACCATTGCTGCAGCTGAAATGCGGGTTTCCGAGATTAAGGGGTACCTTATTGAGGTCCTTCTTCACAGGGAATCCTACTATTTGGGGTCTGGATTAGGGCACCCTTTTTTTCGTAAACCCCCAAAATGGATTTCAGGGTTTATGGCTTCAAGGTTCAGGGGATACAGTGTGTATGGGGATTTCGGATTTAACCCTGGTATATTAAGTCGACATCCAGAACGCCCAAGCACGCTTCCTGACCTTGCCATGAGCCCCAAACCCGGCAAAAGACTCTGCCCCCCCCTCCCCCCCACAACCCTCTCCCACCCTAAACCCTAAACTCTAAACCCTAAACCAACCCTGAACCCGAAACCCTAAACCCTCCCCGACCTCCTCCAGTGGCTCATCCCCAAGATCGCCGCTGCCCAACGGAGCAGATGCCCGGCGAAGCGATTCGGTGCTTTCCTGTGGTGCTGACTGGAAACTAAAGTTCCCTTCGCAAATTTACTTCCAGATCGTGGTGTATACTATGATTATAACATGACTCTATATACAAAAAATCATACATATGATATAGTTGATATCTGTATTTGTGGGCAGTTCTCTAAACTCTGGCGCCTTGTTGACATGAGTGCCTGTTGGAACGGAGACAGAATCTCACGGGGTTCTGTAGTGGGGGTTTAGGGTTTAAGGGGTTAAAACCCTAAACCCTAAACCCTAAAACCCAAAACCCTAAATCCTAAACCCTAAACCCGAAATCCTAGTCCTGAAATAAAAGGTTCCCGATTTTGTGGTATATGCGGGGCACCCAAGCCCTTTCGAACCGACACTCGTGAAGCCCTAGGAGCACTGGGAGCCCTGCAGTCCCTCCGAAGCCTTGAGGGGGCTGGGTTGGGGTTTAGGGTTTAGGGTTCAGGGTTCAGGGTTTAGGGTTTAGGGTTTAGGGTTTGGGGTTTAGGGTTTAGGGTGTACTCCGGGTGTGTCTCCGCCTCTTGGTGGCCGTCGGTCGACAAAATCTGGAGCTCCATCTTCTGCTGGACGTTTGGGTCACCGTCCTTTAATTTGGCAATTTCACTCCGTAAAGCCGAAAAAACTCGGCAAACACCCAGATCTTGAAAGACATAATTAACCTCCCCCCTTCAAACTTCAAGCCAAAGCCGAGACTCCTCGTCCTGTTCGCTGCCCTTCCCAGTTCCCTTCGGCTCCTCTGCCTCTGGCCTCATCCAGTCACAATGAAGACAAGAGGACAAACTTTGTTGATAAAGTAGGGAAGAGTTAACCTTCACCAACGACACAGACTTTCGGACACCCAAAAAATAGCTATTGGTGAAGCAAGCTTCTCCAGCGTCCTGGAAGCGCCAGGACCGTCCAGCAAAGCCAACTCCAGGCCACTGGACGGAGCTCCTGCTGGATCTCCTGCAGGACCTTCCTCCCCTTCGGGGGCTGTTTTCGGAGCACCTCCTTCCGACATGCTTTCGGGCTGCTCGGCGTCTTCAGTCTGCGTGCCCTGGGAGACTTGGGCACTGGATCCTCCGGGCAAAGCTGCTGCAGGCGCTTCAACTTTCTCTTCCATGGCCTCTCTGACAGCCGTCTCGTCTCCTGCCTGCGCGTCTGCTTCCTTGTTGGGGCTATGGCCAAAAATTGTCATGTCCATTCCACACTGGGAAGTTAACAAAACAAAAATGTAAACTTAACACCAACAAGGACCCAGGAGTCTGATGTTGGCTCCTCGTTGGCAGCTGGAACACCCTCTGGGCAGGCCGCGAAGTGCTCCTTCGTAGAAGCGCTGGGCTCTTCTGCCTGCCCCGTCGATTCCTGCTCCAGGGCGCTGTCACTCCGCCCGTGGAGTCGCTGGTGCGCTTCTTCCAGCTCCATCCTCATCCGTTCCTTAGCTGCCCTCTTGGGTTGAAACCCTAAACCCTAAACCCTAAACCCTAAACCCTACATCCTGAGCCCTAGATCCCAAACCCGAAACCCTAAAACCACCCGGGTTGAGCACGGTGGGTTTCCTGTACCGGCAAGCCCTCAAGGTTTAACGAAAGAGCGTGGCATCATCAGGATCCTCCAAAAAGAACACAGAACAACATCGCCGCCGAAAACCTTACACCCTCAACACTATCTCTAACCCTGGCCCTAAACCCTAAACCCTAAACCCTAAACCCTAAACCCTAAACCCTAAACCCTAAACCCTAAACCCTAAACCCTAAACCCTAAACCCTAAACCCTAAACCCTAAACCCTAAACCCTAAACCCTAAACCCTAAACCCTAAACCCTAAACCCTAAACCCTAAACCCTAAACCCTAAACCCTAAACCCTAAACCCTAAACCCTAAGGAGGAGATTCGACTTCCTCCTTGGAGGAGTCGTCCTCTGTGGCACACGCAGCATGGCGGGTCAAGGGCACCCTTCGCACGGACTGCCTCAGCTCAGCTGTTAGGGGACGGGCGGATAGGATTAGGGTTTAGGGTTTGGGGTTTAGGATTAGGGGGGGCCCTTGGGGATATAGACCCTCTGAAGAAGGTCCCTGTTTAAGAGAGCCAGAAGAGGGTCAAGAAGGGTTCCCTTTCAAGGGACTGTTAACCCCCTCAACCCTGAAGCCCCTAAACCTAGACTCCTAAACCCTTAAACTCCCAAACCCCGAAGCCCTTCAACGCAGGGACCCTTCAACCTTAAAACCCTTTAAAGACCCGAAGCCCCTAAAACCCTAAACCCCTACAACCAAAAGACTTGAACCTCTCCAAGCACGCAAGACAGAAGGAGGACAGACTTCGACGAAAGGAGCAGCAACGCCGACCCTGAAGTTGATACTTGCAGAAGTCGTAAGCCCTGGGCCTCAAAGAGTAAGCGTAGACGAGGGTGCTGAGGCTGTGAAGGGTTTACGGGCTGAATGTGGGTTGAAGGTGCTCCTAAACCCTAAACCCTAAAGTAGCCCCAAAAACCTTAAAGCCTAACACCCCCCAGAGCAGTGGCCCTTCTACAGCCCCAAAGGCCTGAGCCATGATCAAATTTTGGAGGTATAGGAAGGGCCCGTAGAAGGGACCCTTAATCTTGTCCCCTATATAACCCACATACATACATATATGTATACCTTGTATAGCTCCTATATACCTAAGTACCCGCAATAACCCCGAAGGTCCCTTCTAAAGGTCTCCCTCAGTTCCTTGATAGAACCCCTAACCCCAAAACCCCTACAAGCCCTTACCAGCCCCCCAAAAAACTTTAGCAGGTCCTGAGAAGGCCCTTCAAAAGCCCCTCAAAACCCTAAACCCTAAACCCGAACCCTTAACCCTAAACCCCAACCCCTAAACCCTAAACCCTAAACCCTAAACCCTAAACCCTCGCCCCTTAAAACCTTTGCCAAGGCGCCCCACATCCTCGCGGGCCGCGGCGCCGTAGCGCTGCGGGAGGCCCTCCAGGCGTCGGAGGCTCGAGACCAGGCGCCTGAAGGGTTTTAGAGTCTAGGGTTTAGGGTGTAGGGTTTAGGGCTACGAGGGTTTAGGGTTTAGGGCTACAAGGGTTTAGGGTTTAGGGCTACAAGGGTTTAGGGTTTAGGGTTCCAAGGTTTTGGGGTTTAGGCGGGAGTTTCCCCCCGTCCTTTTCTGGGGTTAGATCTGAGTGGGTGCCGACCATCAATATCTAAACACTGTGTGTTGAGTAGTGTATAACATGCGTATGCATATACACATACATATTATATATATATATATATACACATACAAAGATGTATGTATATACAACAAAGTAGTAAAAGAAATATAAATCAATAGACAAATATAGTAAGTAACTGAATAAATAAGTATATATATATATATATAAGCATTGTTCAGAAATCACATTATCCGGGAAGTGGGTTCGGGGCAGCTTGCGTTCAAGACGGGTGGGACAGGGACTGAAGAAAACTTACTTGAGGGCATAGCGGCAGCAGCACCCGGTGGCGAACGAAATTGCTGCTTGTGCCAGGAAGCCCTAAACAAATCCCAAACCCTTCACCCTAAACCACTAAATACCTAAACACCCTAAACCACACCGGTTGAAACGAGTCCAAACATGGCCCCTCCAACCTTTTTCAACCGAGGCCCCGAACCTTAAACCCTCAAACCTGCTCAGAGCTTCTGGGGTTGAAGCTGCTCAGGGTTCTGGAGTCTGGGTCTTGGGGTTTTGCTCTCAGCCTGGGAAACCCTAAACGTGTAGATTTGGGGTTTAGGGGTTTAGGGCATTCGGGTTGTAGGTTGTGTTGAGGTGTTCAAGTTGAGGGTCTAAGGTGTTTTAGAATGCTTTAGGGGTGCAGTGTTTAGGGCACTCAACAGGTCTCACAATGTAGATCAACTCCCACTTCTTGACGCGGGGCTTCGGGCATAGGGCATAGGCCGAATGAAGAATGAGCCGAATGGACTTTCAATCGGCATCTGCACTGGTTTAGGGCTCAGAGTTCAGGAAGTGCGCTGGTACACCCCTGAACCCTGAACCCTAGACCCAATCCCCATGCCCCTCCATAGCTTCAAGCGGCCCTTTCCCTAAACCCTAAACCCTAAACCCTAAACCCTAAACCCTAAACCTTCTTGGCCACCCCTCACTTAGAACGCTACTCTGACTGCCCACGAAGGTACAAGTAGACGCTGTGATTAGCAGGCTTCGTTTGCAATCCAAACCGCGAGCATACAGAGGTGAAAAGGCCGGGGTGTTGCTTGATCTGCAGCGAGATCTTTTGTCGAAAGCTGTGCTCCCTAAACTAAACCCTAAACCCTAAACCCTAAACCCTAAACCCTAAACCCTAAACCCTAAACCTGCAAGATAGTTGTTTCCCATGAAGGGCAAGTAGCGCACTTCAGGGTGGTGTTGACAGAGGGCTGGGCATACAAGAAGCTTGTTTCCTCTTCATTAAACACAGAGAGGTCAGAGTTTGACACAGTCTTATCAAAATCTGATGGCAGAGTGTACCAGGCTTATGTACCCTGGATGCTGAAAAGACACAGGCCTGCGCGGATTGACTAGGGCAAGGGAAGGGCAACATTGTGTGGGGGCTGCAAAATGGCGCGAATGTTAACAGCGCTGCCTGGGGCTCTCAGATTTCAATCTCCCGACTGACGGCCTGAAAGCCCTCTTTCCGGTGTTTTGCCGAGGCGCAGCGTGTGATCCATGTCTGCCACCGATATGTCTTTCTGCAACTTCTCGAGCCTCATCGGTGTTTGGGCAGTAGGGCAAACCCTAAACCCTAAACCCTAAACCCTGAACCCTGAATCCTAAACTGCAAGCCCTGACCCCGACTTAGTAGGTACGGATAGTAAGGTGGGTTCTGGGGTTTATGACAGGGCTTCTACGGGATACCAAGTAGACTTACTGAGTCAAAGAGCCCCAGATCTGTAAACCGTTCTCTAAGCCCAAGCGACAAAGCGCTACCTGTAAAACTGGACAGTGAGCCCCTGCGCAGCAAATGCGCAAGTCATGTTGGCTTCTGCCGTAAAGGAGTACCCACCCCGCCACCCCAAACCAAACCCTAAAACCGAAAGTGTAGGGCATATTTGGGGGGTGGAAGCGCTGAACCCCGAAGACCGCTGAACCCCAAACGAGCCACAGCCCCCAGAATGTTGGTGGGGTTTGGGGTTTAGGGTTTAGGGTTTGGGGTTCAGGGGTTCAGGGGTTTGAGGGTTTGAAAAGGGGCAGCCTCTCTGTCACGCCGAGGCCAAAAGGTTTCGTGGTTACGCCAGGGAGCCCAACGACTTGCGCCACATTCCTAAGCCCTAAGTTCCCAGAAACACGAAGCCTGCAGCACCCTGGACCCCTAAATCCCAAATGAACACAGTCTACTTATCCAGACTGATTCCTGAAAAAGTATTGATACATTCTTAGTCAGATAAACGAATTTTTCCCGAGCAACCTCAGCCTGAAGCCCAAAAGAACGGCACCATCAACTCCGGATATCCTTCTCCCATTAGGGTTTAGGGTTTGGGGTTTCGGGTTTAGGGTTTAGGGTCGGGGCGCTGCCCCAAGCGCGAAGCTAAGCTGCGGCCCATGAAGTTGGCGGCCTGGCTGTTGAAGGGTTCAGAGAGAAGAAGGGACTGGGGTTTAGGGTTTAGGGTTTAGGGTTTAGGGCTTAGGGTTTAGGGCTTAGGGTTTAAGGAGTAGAGGCCACCGGCGTCTTCCTTTGCTGGATGCTTTTGGGTACAGAACACAGCCACCGCGACCACCTTTTCGCCCTCACATGTCGGCCTCCCCAAGTCTCTCTGCGCGCCTGAACTTGGGGTTTAGGGTTTAGGGTTTAGGGTTTAGGGTTTAGGGTTTAGGGTTTAGGGTTTAGGGTTTAGGGTTTAGGGTTTTGGGTTTAGGGTTTAGGGTTTAGGGTTTAGGGTAAATGCCTGCGCATTCGTGCCTTCGTAGCTGCATATCTTCGGATGTTACCTTGAGAGAAAGGGAACGAAACCCTAAACCCTAAACCCTGAACCCTGAACCCCAATGCGCGGTGCAAGGCAGGCCTCGGCATTGGCCTCGAGGTTGGCCTGGGAAGGGCTGGAGGTTCCCACAACCTCCGTTGTTATCTTTCTTTGGGGGTTTAGGCTTTAGGGTTTAGCGTTCTGT